TACATTACATGTGCACTCCTATTGCAGACTATTTTTTCAGAGCTGAGTTTACAACACCCACTTTGCGGAGATACGCCCACACAGTTACGAGCTTGCGACTCACGTGATTTGTGGCAGCTTTGTCACGCAGTTCTGCTCTGAAACTCAGAAACTCAGACTGAGCGAAAATGAAGAAGTGTTGCCAACTATTTTCAAAGGAAAGTAGCTAAGGCCTTCCCTAAAAGTCGCTAAATGTCGCTAGATGACGTCATTCGGCAATTAGCATATTAATGACGTCATCGCGTCGTACTTGCGTTCTGTCAGCCTAGTGCGTTTTCTCTCTAAATTAATGCTCTATTCACTATAATATAGCCGAATGTCAAATAAAGCTGTTATCATTTCCTATTTTTTTGTTGTCAGACAATTGAACGAGTAGCTATAATTTAGTGAATGATTATATTTTTTATAGGCCTATGTGGAACAATATCTGAATTGAGAGAGTTAGGGAACCGGATGAACTAAGCTCTAGTGAGTGTTACAAATAATAAGCACAAGAAAAAAAAAAAAATTAAAATGGTCAAACTAAATTCTTTAAATATAAAACAAAAGAAAAGCAGATAAGTGATAAGTCCATGGAAAAACACTGCTCATTCGCGTCTGTCAGCGGCCGTGCGCTCCTCTCAGCCATTCACTGAACAGGGGAGACGCAGCGAGAGAGAGTGACGACAGGGAGAAAGCAAGACCTCGCGCTCGCAGGACAGTACTGGCAACATTTGTATGGCGTTATTTATGTGCCTCAATCCTGAGCGAGTAATTGTAAGTTTTGAGCACAGAGAACTATATTTTGCAAACACATTGCATTATATTTTGAACAGAAATTAACAATCGCAAAAAAAAAAAATCGTTTGAGCAAAGAAAAAACGATTCCGTGCTCAATAAATGTATTTGCTATTATCCACATTAACGTGCAATAATAACCCCTCTCACGCAGTTTACTCAGGTGCTCTCTCACAAACTTATTCTCTGCGCTCCTGTCAAGTCCCTCTCTCTCTCTCTCAACCTCTTAATTCTGTGCGCGCTCAACTCTTGACACACACGCGCGCTCAACTCTTGATACACACGCGCGCTCAACTTGCAACAGCGTTACAAGTGTGCCACAAAATCAACCAATCGGAAAATTAAAGGTCAATTGTGATTGGCTGTGCAACAGCGTTACAAGTGTGCCACAAAATCAACCAATCGGAAAATTAAAGGTCAATTGTGATTGGCTGTTGGTCTCCAATCACCACGCAGCACAAAGAAGAAAAAGGAATTTTATGGATAGATGTCTTCTCTAGTATGGAATGCCAAAGCTGACTTAATTAAAAATAAATAAATAAATAAATAAATAAATAAATATACGAAGAAATGCAAAAAAGCAAAAATACATAAATAAATATACAAAGAAATGTAAAAAAAAGTACAAATAAATGAGTATTTATACTTTTATTTCCTTATTTATGTATAATTGTATTTTTTCCCACATTTTTATTTATTTTATTTATACATTTATTTATTTCCACTTTTATTTATTTCCACATTTATTTATTTATACATTTTTATATTGTATTGTATTATATATAGGCTACCTATAAATTGATTTCCAGGGGTGTTCAGCATCATATACTGTATGTCAAGTTCTTAATATTAATCGATAAACTACTCAGTTATTATAATAATAAGGCACTATGGCTGTTATCAGTAAAATAAAATTAACAAAAGTCATTAAGTCATTAAAAAGTCAAAATCTTAATACAGAGGAGAATGTTTTTACACTGCATTACAATTGCATAAAAGTCGTTATGAGATTAATGTTAAAAATAAAACATTTGAATATAGAAATATGAAATGATGGAATCAATTAAATTGTACGTTTAAATATGAAACTAAAACAGCCAGTAGGTGGCGGTAAGTCACTGTCTTAAACGAGTGAGTCATATCATTAATTCAGACCGATTCATTCAAATACTGAACTTCGGGGAAAAAACACCACGTGTTATGTTCAACTGTACAGCTCAGGTATCAAAATTATGGCGGAGCGATGTGGCACCAACATTAATAAAAAATGTCCGCATTTAAAAATGCTGTAAAAAAGCCCATGTATGAGATAATTTTATTATAATTTTTTTCCCCGAACTGAATGAATCAGTATTTGAATGAATCGGTCTGAATTAATGATATGACTCACTCGTTTAAGACAGTGACTTACCGCCACCTACTGGCTGTTTTAGTTTCATATTTAAACGTACAATTTAATTGATTCCATCATTTCATATTTCTATATTCAAATGTTTTATTTTTAACATTAATCTCATAACGACTTTTATGCAATTGTAATTGCAGTGTAAAAACATTCTCCTCTGTATTAAGATTTTGACTTTTAATGACTTAATGACTTTTGTTAATTTTATTTTACTGATAACAGCCATAGTGCCTTATTATTATAATAACTGAGTAGTTTATCGATTAATATTAAGAACTTGACATACAGTATATGATGCTGAACGCCCCTGGAAATCAATTTAGGTACATATAATACAATACAATATATAAATGTATAAATAAATAAATGTGGAAATAAATAAATGTATAAATAAAAAAATAAAAAATGTGTGAAAAAATACAATTATACATAAATAAGGAAATAAAAGTATAAATACTCATTTATTTGTACTTTTTTTACATTTCTTTGTATATTTATTTATGTATTTTTGCTTTTTTGCATTTCTTCGTATATTTATTTATGTATTTATTTATTTTTAATTAAGTCAGCTTTGGCATTCCATCCTAGAGAAGACATCTATCCATAAAATTCCTTTTTCTTCTTTGTGCTGCGTTGTGATTGGAGACCAACAGCCAATCACAATTGACCTCTAATTTTCCGATTGGTTGATTTTGTGGCACACTTGTAACGCTGTTGCAAGTTGAGCGTGCGTGTGTGTCAAGAGTTGAGCGCGCGTGTCAAGAGTTGAGCGCGCATGTGTCAAGAGTTGAGCGCGCGTGTGTGTCAAGAGTTGAGCGCGCACAGAATTAAGAGGTTGAGAGAGAGAGAGAGGGACTTGACAGGAGCGCAGAGAATAAGTTTGTGAGAGAGCACCTGAGTAAACTGCGTGAGAGGGGTTATTATTGCACGTTAATGTGGATAATAGCAAATACATTTATTGAGCACGGAATCGTTTTTTCTTTGCTCAAACGAATTTTTTTTTTGCGATTGTTAATTTCTGTTCAAAATATAATGCAATGTGCTTGCAAAATATAGTTCTCTGTGCTCAAAACTTACAATTACTCGCTCAGGATTGAGGCACATAAATAACGCCATACATTTGGAGGTTACTGAGGTTTGTCCAAAAGTCGCTAAAATGGTCGCTAGTCGCTTTTTTGAAAAAATGTCGCTAAAGGGGTCTGAAAAGTCGCTAAAAATAGCGACAAAGGCGCTAAGTTGGCAACACTGAAATGAAGCTTCGCAACCTCGCAACTTAAAAAAAAGCCTGGAGGGAGGGCCTTCTGCTCTTGGCCAATGCTTTGCTGTCTGCTGACGTACAGTCCAATCACAAGTCGTATTTACTGGAAAGGTGGGATTGACTGACTGCTCCGCCAATGACGAAAGCGTATGGGATGAATATAATATATTCATGCATTCTAGAAACGGAGCAATGAATGCACGCGTTTCACCTGATCAAAAAATTGCACATCTTGTTGCATGCACAAGTTCTGAGTGTGTGTGTGTGTGTGTTAGCAGCTACGATACGCCTTTTATGTTCAAACCGGAGTCAGAAAGATGAAGAGACTCAAGAAGAAGTGACGACATGTAGAAGCAATAGGACATTTCTGATTGGTTAGTTGATGAATGTGTGTATCTGATGTGGAGTTAACTCTCTTCTAGTCATTGATTAGCATATTCTGTCGTGATAATCTGTAATTGCGTTCCGGGGGCGGGGTTTATGCAAATTTTAGGGTTAGTGATGGTGGTGGAAAAAAATATGAGATAGGAGAAGAACTAATAAGTCAATCTTCTTGAGTTCGCTTGCAAATCTTTGCATTCACTCACAAAAACTGTGACTTGGCAGTTTCACTTTGGATGTGCATTACTTTGTAATAATTCAACGGCCCATCATCAATCATTCCTTTCTCAAAGTTCCCCTGTAGTCAATAATGTCTGAGGTGTTTCTGGGCCCTGGAGATGTTCTGACATGCTCTGACATTTGTGTTTATTTCTGTTACTTGTAACATGTTCATGACTAAAGTCTGATTACACTGTATTTAGCACAAACTCTGCTACAATAATATGTGAGCATCATGTATGTAAAAGTTTGTAGATTTAAGAAAATTATGTTTTTGCGTGGTTTGTGAAAAAAAAATATGTCACTAAAATAAGGCCAAAAACCCATACTGATTATTTGTTCACAATAATTTTGAAAATTGTATCATGTATTCTAGAATTTTCGCTTCAAAACGATGTGAAAATCATCCTGCCCGCTCATTCAGATAAAACAATATATTGCTTTAAAACTTGTAAGACATGATTTGTGTAAGAAAGCCTTATGCGAGGAGGAGGCGTGACTCATCATGAATATTGATGTGTTTCACACCTGGGAAGACGAAGACCCTCCCATAATGGCCCTATCAGGAGGGACTGTGCATCATGTTTCTTTTCTTTATTTTACGAAAAGCATAACATTCTGTTTTTATAATGAGTGTACACAAATAAAAGTACACATTTAACAGTTTTGAATGATGTATAACACCTGTATGTATGACAAAAAGTTATTTGAGCCTCTTTCGCACTGATTAGAAAAAAAGCAAGGTGATTGCACTGGCGCAACCGCCGACCCCAGAGGGTTAAAACTTATCGTTAATCACCTAAATGACTTTTTTTTTTTAAATCATTGAAAAAAATGCCTTAAAATAGCTTGAATGTAACTCGACACCATTGCCTCATTAAGTATACGCACTTCTATATATATATGAAGAGTTTGGTTCCAAAACGCAATAAATCCATTTAGATTAATTTGAGTAAAAATGTGTTTTCTTTACCAAGAAAGTGGAAAGATGAAAACCACTATTTTCTGTTTCAAACTTTCACATAGCATTTGTAGGTCATAATAACAAAAAAAAATTAAAATCCAGGTTTTGATTTTCAAAGATTTATTATAAAAACGGATTATTTTTTTCCCCAAAATGCAATAAATCCATTAAAAAAAAAAATCAAAATGCAATTAATCCATTGAATCAATATAAAAGTTTTTTTTTTTCATATTGAAACTGTTGAAAATACACAACGTAAGTTTATTAGTATAATATTTTTATTAAGAACTGTAAAGAAGATTGAAAACATTTTCCTCCTCCCGAGTGCCTCATCTTCTTAATCTCCTCACGTAAATGATTCGATTTCGATGCCTTACGTTTCTTACCCACCGCAGAAACAACCACAGGTTCATCAATGCCTCAAAATTATTCATTTTTTTGTTTGTTTGTTGATCGAAAAGTACAAAATCGATAAGAAAACTAGGAAGCCGGGTGTATTTAAAGCGCTTCCGTGACTGTTTACATTGCGTGGAATGGTGCGTTGTGATTGGTTGAGAGCGGATATATCGCATTCTGCAGAGAAGGGAGACTGGCGTTTGTCGCGGTTTGGAAAGAAAGGGAGAAAACATGACAGAATAACACGGCGGATATCGCATTTTACTTAAAATTAAACATTGACTTTTCAATACCAACCAGATACAATACTGATTTTTGCAGTAACTAATTTTTTTTTCAAAATGGCGTTTATCGCGTTTTGGAACCAAACTCTTCATATGATTAAATGATTAATGATTAAATGATTCCCGCCTCCACTCACTCATCTCAGAGATCCACTCGTTGACGATCACACGTTGATCTGATTGGTTACAAGGTTTGCTCTGTGTGTGTGTTATTGCAGTAAGTTGAGCAAACGCAGCGGGTGAGGGAATAATGTGGTCAGGGGCCCAGCGGGGAGAGAGAGAGAGAGCGAGAAGAGAGAGAGAGAGAGAGAGAGAGAGAGAGAGAGAGAGAGAGAGAGAGAGAGAGAGAGAGAGAGAGAGAGAGAGAGAGCGAGAAGAGAGAGAGAGAGAGAGAGAGAGAGAGAGAGAGAGAGAGAGAGAGAGAGAGCGAGAGAGAGAGAGAGAGAGAGAGAGAGAGAGAGAGAGAGAGAGAGAGAGTGCCGTACAGTAAACAGCCCAGAGTCGGAAAGCAACAGGAAAGATTCAACATCATCATCATCATCCCGGACCTCCTCTTCCCAGATAAACTCTCTCTCTCAGATGTGAGCTCCAGCAGCTGTGAGAGTTTATCCCAGCTTTCATGAGACTCCGTGTCTCGGAGCACCGGAAGGAGACGCGGGAGGAGGAGGAGGGTGTGTGTGTGTGTGTGTGTGTTCATCACAGCAGAGAGAGAGTGAGCGATGGCCACGGGAGGAATCACTACACTCCCGGCTTCTCCCGACGACGGGGCGAGCGGAGCCTTTTCTCCCGGGAGCTTCAAGGAGCCCAAACGCCTTTACTGCAAAAACGGCGGATTCTTCCTGCGGATCCAGTCGGACGGGCGAGTGGACGGGGTCCGGGAGAAGAGCGACCCGCACAGTGAGTGCTTTTATTCCCTTCTTTCCATGGAAAAACAGGAGAGAGGAGAGGATCTAGAGCAGACCGACGGCACAAAGACTCTTTATATACGTCACAGATGAAAACCAGGCCTGATGATGACAGGTTTCCAAGAGATTTTCAGGAAGGCTCTCGGTTCAGAAAGAGTTCACTGACTTTTATGCGTGTTCACTTTTTAAAAGCATTTATTCATGTTTTATTCAACATTTTAAAGCTGGTGCGTGTGTGAGACCAAAGTATTCACCTTGAAGAGGAAGTGTTTTCCATGTTCCAAGTTCGGTTTAGTCCTGAAAAACACAAGAAATACAAGTCAAGTAGAAACTGAAACAATCAGCCCTTTAGACGCACGGTCAGGGTTAAAGACTCACGGTCAGGGTTAAAGACTCACGGTCAGGGTTAAAGACTCACGGTCAGGGTTAAAGACTCACGGTCAGGGTTAAAGACTCACGGTCAGGGTTAAAGACCGTCAGGGTTAAAGACTCACGGTCAGGGTTAAAGACTCACGGTCAGGGTTAAAGACTCACGGTCAGGGTTAAAGACGCACGGTCAGGGTTAAAGACTCACGGTCAGGGTTAAAGACGCACGGTCAGGGTTAAAGACCGTCAGGGTTAAAGACTCACGTCAGGGTTAAAGACTCACGGTCAGAGTTAAAGGTCAGGGTTAAAGACTCACGGTCAGGGTTAAGACTCACGGTCAGGGTTAAAGACTCACGGTCAGGGTTAAAGACTCACGGTCAGGGTTAAAGACGCACGGTCAGGGTTAAAGACTCACGGTCAGGGTTAAAGACGCACGGTCAGGGTTAAAGACTCACGGTCAGGGTTAAAGACTCACGGTCAGGGTTAAAGACCGTCAGGGTTAAAGACTCACGGTCAGGGTTAAAGACCGTCAGGGTTAAAGACTCACGGTCAGGGTTAAAGACGCACGGTCAGGGTTAAAGACTCACGGTCAGGGTTAAAGACCGTCAGGGTTAAAGACTCACGGTCAGGGTTAAAGACTCACGGTCAGGGTTAAAGACTCACGGTCAGGGTTAAAGACTCACGGTCAGGGTTAAAGACGCACGGTCAGGGTCAAAGACTCACGGTCAGGGTTAAAGACTCACGGTCAGGGTTAAAGACTCACGGTCAGGGTTAAAGACGCACGGTCAGGGTTAAAGACTCACGGTCAGGGTTAAAGACGCACGGTCAGGGTTAAAGACGCACGGTCAGGGTTAAAGACTCACGGTCAGGGTTAAAGACTCACGGTCAGGGTTAAAGACTCACGGTCAGGGTTAAAGACTCACGGTCAGGGTTAAAGACGCACGGTCAGGGTTAAAGACGCACGGTCAGGGTTAAAGACTCACGGTCAGGGTTAAAGACTCACGGTCAGGGTTAAAGACGCACGGTCAGGGTTAAAGACGCACGGTCAGCGTTAAAGACTCACGGTCAGGGTTAAAGACTCACGGTCAGGGTTAAAGACTCACGGTCAGGGTTAAAGACTCACGGTCAGGGTTAAAGACTCACGGTCAGGGTTAAAAATACTGTTGTCGAGGGCTACTTCACTACCCCCTAACCCTAACCCTAACCCTAACCCACAGTTCACTTATTCTGACCCGAACCTCTGTGTGCGCGTGCGTTTGAGTGTGTGTGTGCGTTTGAGTGTGTGCGTTTGAGTGTGTGTGTGTGTGTGTGTGAGTGAATGAGTGAGTGTGTGTGTGTGTGTGTGTGTGAGAGTGTGTGTGTGTGTGAGAGTGTGTGTGTGTGTGCATGAGTGTCCGTGTGTGCGTGAGTGTGTGTGTGTGTGCGTATGAGTGTGTGTGTGTGCGTTTGAGTGTGTGTGTGTGTGTGCGTTTGAGTGTGTGAGTGTGTGTGTGTGTGTGAGTTAGTGTCTGTGTGTGTGAGAGAGTGTGTGTGTGTGTGTGTATGTGTGTGTCTGTGTGAGAGTGTGTGAGTATGTGTGTGTGTGTGTTTACAAATGAGGACATTCCTCAGTGTATTCAAATGGAGGTTGTGTCAGATTTAACTAATTTCTGGGGTCATAAAATATGGTTCAGTAGGTACACACACACACACACACACACACACACACACACACTGACTCATTAATCAAACACACTTGTCAACGTTCTTGTCTTGTGTCGTCTTCTGTTTTTGTCTAAACACAAGCAGGATCTGAGTGTGTAGTTTAATAGAGCAATGCTGTTCCTCAGATCCCAGTAAACATCCCGACGGATCGGCTCATCACAACAACACAACATCACAACAACACAACATCACAACAACACAACAACACAACATCACAACACTGAATCACTGAGTCCCGATCTTACTCTCCGTTCATCATCTATGCTCTCTTCTGAAACCTGTAATGAACATCAATAACTGTTCAAATCATGCAGACAAATACTAACATACAGTCAAACCAAAAATTAATCAAAAAATTAAACCAAAACAACTTTTTTACTAGTGTGTGCAGGACACTATAGTCCATGTATGTAAGTGAGGAGAGCAAAATAAAGTAAACTGTGACATATTACACCCCAAAATTTCAGACCAAACATGATTCCTCCACTTTGAGCTGATCATGTTTTGCTGAAGTGTGTTTTCTGTAATTGCTAATGCTCTTTTTACACACACACTGATCAACATGAAGCATTGCTTGGTCACTGGTCGAGCTAAACTGGTATTATCTAATTGTGTTAAATTGAACAGCTGACAGATATTCAACATAATTTGACAGATTTGACTGTAAATCTTGATAAGAAGGGCCAGAAACACACATGCGCAGTCTCATTCCCATCACATGAACTCGTGAAGAATCTGTGGACACGTCTTTTAGACAAATCCTCCTTTCCCGACAAAACCACAACTGTGTCAGCTCTTCTGTGAGGAAATGTGTGTGTGTGTGTGTGTGTGTTCTCACAGAAGGTGTTTGTGTGTCTCTCAGTTCGCCTGCAGCTCCAGGCGACGGCTCTCGGGGAGCTGGTGATCAAGGGCATCTGTGCGAACCGATACCTGGCCATGAACGCCGACGGACGCCTCTTCGGATCGGTGAGACGCTTTACGATGATCCGAGATCGTGTATTTCCTCCAGTGTTCATGAGTAGAATTCAGAAACGCTTGTTATTAGCGACACCGGTGGCCGTTGAGTGAACTGCAATCGCGCACAAGAGACTGAACGTGATTGGTCTGTAAAGGTCATTAAAATTACACTGTTATGAATGATTATAAAGTATATTTGAGATTTTAGATTATATACACTGCCGTTCAAAAGTTTTGGATCGGTACGATCTCTTCTGCTCACCAAGCCTGCATTCATTTGATTAAAAATACAAAAAGGACCCAAATATTATGACAATTTTCTATGTGAATTTATAGCAAAGTTTA